TGCTTATTTATAAACTTCAAAACTTCTAACATTGGACTGATATTTTAAATATTTTGAAAAGATGTTTAAGAATCTATCATCTTTCTAGAATGTTTTCACTCATTAAAAGTGACTACATTTTCCTGATAAATTTCCTATGATGCTCAGCTCAAAAAAGAAAACATCAAATGGAAAATTTCCTTCCTTGCTTTTATAAGGCATTAACACAAATATAAAAATATCTTATTAACCGAATTAACTACTAACCATCCCATTATTTTGTCTATAAATGCCAAATAACCAGTTATAAACAAACATAGTCTATGTTTTAAAAAATGACAAAACACGTATATTAATCAGTGAGTCACAAAACAATCTATCCCCTATTGCAATAGTTGTCCAGTTTTAAAAGAGCACCTTCATTTATACACACCACAGTTCTTGACATCTTATCAACAATCTATCCTCTATAGTTGGTAGAATCTTGGTATGGTCAACATCACTCTTTTGAAAATTCAAATATCTTTCCAGCATTCTGTTCCTAAAAACAAGCTGTTAGGATACTTTTCTTCCTTCTCTGAAACTACACGATTGCATTACCCTAGAATATAGTTTTAATTTAAAACTTTTACTCTGCTTTATAACACCAATTTAAACACTCTGAATCTTTTCTTTCCTACTCTATAACATCATTAGCCACTGATTTTTTTTTCTTAAAGAAAATTATTTTAAGATATTCATAATTCTATATCTTATTTTATAACTATTTCTACTCGAGTATAGTTCAATAGTAGGAAACACGTATTCACAAATATCTCATGGCTACATTTATGAATGAGTTTTGACCTGCGGTAAAATGATTTATGTTTCCATTAACAAACTATTTTTTCCCAAACGACAAGAAGTGAAATGTTAATCACATTCTAGGATAACACAGAGTTAGACATAAAAGTAGTTTTTGCTTAAGTAAAGTTTGGAATTAAAAATAGGGCAGTGAGTTAAAAAATCTGATTTAATCTTTGCAACTCCCAGATGGAATAGTAAAAGAGGGAGGAGGGAGAAGAGAAGAGAAGAGAAGAGGAGACAGAGACTGAGATGAAGACTGATTTTGAGATGGGTCAAGCCCCACATCACCAATTTCTGACGTTCTGGCATCATAATATTTCAAGGGTCTGGACCACCAGAACACCGATCCCCTTACTTAAAAAATTTAAAGGATCATGCTAAAAAAAAAAAAAAAAAAAGTCTTCCCAGGCACACCAGGAACATTATTCAAAGCCCCATGCGGTAGGCAGGGCATGAACTAAGAGCCTTCTGCAAACATGACCTTTTTATCAAACTCCCTGTCTCGCCTGGCTCTTCCCAACGCCCAGACAAGTTTATTGACACCCCCAGGCCCCCGTGCAGGGAGTCAGGGGGGCAGAGCCGGGGACACGCCCTGGTCCTCCCCTCCCTCCCGCGCGGCCGTCTCCGGAGCAAAGAGCAGCAGCGGCGGCGGCGGGATTGTGAGCCCGGCGGGGCCGTGAGCGGCCGGATTGTGAGCCCGGCGGGGCCGTGAGCGGCCGGATTGTGAGCCCGGCGGGGCCGTGAGCGGCGGGATTGTGAGCCCGGCGGGGCCGCGTGCGCCCCCGTCCCCGTCCCCGCGCGGTTCGCAGCCAATCGCCGGGAGGTGTCCGCGTCCCCGCGTCCCCGCACCTCGGCGCCAGCCGCCCCCGCCCCGCCCCCACCCTGCACGGCACTGCTGAGCCCGGCCCGGGCGCCGAGGCTGGGGGCGGCTGGCGCGGG